ATAATTATTGCAGGTAGATATTCTGTGAATTAAAGAAACACGTTAGTGAAGCAGTACTCAATCGCTCACGTGCTTCATAAATTTTCGAAACCAGTTATCTCAAAATTAAAGACTTCTATACAAAAACTTCTGTGTAGTTTCCATTTATTTTTATTCAAGGAAGCAGCCACACTTTTCTCGTACCAATTGTTAATAAAACTATTGTAGGTACTTACTTTCTCCTTGTCACACTTTTTAGCTTATATTTTCAATGCTGTGAAACTTATCATCAATCGCAAACGTTTAGTTGCGGCTGCGGGCTAGGCTCGTGCTAATTCAGCTCAATCGACAATCAGATCGAGCACATATCGATTGATCAATCCACGAACAAAGAGGAAGTCAAATTCTAATTATCCAGCAATATATTAGGAGCAGCTAATACTTCCAACAAACTCTAATGAATAAACCATAATACTTCTTCAATATTGTATCTTTCTTCTTAAGGAGTGAAATTTTAATGTTTATTCCTGATATTCGAAATTAATTGGAAACATTCAGTATTTCTGGTTTCCTCCAAACTCTAAGTCTTCCGTCTGAATTGTAAATGCTAAATTTCGATTCATCACTATCGTCCTAATGAGAAAAAATTCAAAATTGCTACAGTTTTATATAAAAAAACTAAAGACACCTTCCCTTGCACTGAAAAAAAATGCAGATAAAGTAACTCAGATTTACTAAAGTTATGCAAATTTAAATATAGTTCAACTTTTGCTTCACACAATTTTTTCTAAAGTTCAAGCAAACTCTTAAAATTTCGTGGTGGCACTTACATAAGAAACTCTGTACATACACAGACTTTAGTAATATTTATTTCAGTCACATTATCTAAAATTAAAATATTAGACGTGTTGTGTACAGAGACTTTATTGACCCACTGTACATATAACCGTAAAGAAAGAAAATCCTTGAAAAAGATTAACAAAACTGTTGCTTCCCATCGAGCATAATGAACCATTTTATTCATAAAATAAATATATTTTTAGTTGAGTGTTTTATAAAATAGGTTTCACAAAGAAAAGATTCACGTAAACGCTTCAGCCGTGTATTCATTATATGTATAATTATATATCAAAATCATACCGTACCTCACAGAATCATTCCCTTCGCAATTATTGCAGAAATTCAATAGCTCTCGTACTTTTTAAACAACGGCAAGCAACGCTATATACCCTCGCAGAAATCCATTTCAAAGGGAATTAATCCCTCCCCCGCAGGCCGAACGGTTTATCATTCGGCTCGGTCGGCTGTATTTTAAAAATTACCGAGAGAGTCGACTAATCCATTAAGTCCAGCATTAAATACCGCAAGGGATGCGCGATCGCGGTTTTAAGCCGCGGTTAACGCGTCGGTGTACAACGCGGAACGGTGTCTTGCGGTATTTAATCGGCGGTGGAAAACCGCGATCGGACATTTTCGGTCCCCGCGGCGGAAGATGAAAACGACTTTTTACCGTTTGGAAATCCACGGGCGGAGGGTTTTTTTTTACGAATGAAAAAATTCCCCGTTATAGGATGGCTACCGGGACAACGTAGGTGGAACGAGTTAGGAGAGGGGAGGGAAAACCTTTGCACCGACCGAAAACCGTAAAAATGCGACGTAAAGCGCGTTACTGCGAGCCATTTAGAAAGATCGATCGATCCCGCAAACACTTTCCGAATGATCGATGTGCCGTTACGGCGTGGCCGCGTCTTTTTCCGAAATAGAGGGGACGATTCGTTTGTCTCACGGATAAATCACCGATTTTTCTATGGTGCTGTGTGTTGTGTGTGTGCTCGCGCGTCTGGACATACGATTTCTCGAAAACGATGTTGAGACAATTTGATTGGTTCATGCAGTGTTCGTGCAGAGCATTCAAGGGGGTATTTTAGTCTGGAGTGTCTTTTTTTAGGTTGATCTTTAGGATTTTTGTTAATTTTTAAACAAAGGAACTATAACATCCTGTGGTGTTAAACTGTAACGTATTCAGCATATATATTTATTTATGTTTCAAGAATTATTCGCCATTTTTTAAGATTAAATTTTTCACGTTGTCTTAACAGCAAAGATTATAGTAAAAGTTAAAACGACATTAGAAATGTGATAGAGTTTTCCTCAACGTTAATCACAAACTGTGTGTGTACATCTAAATATGTTAAATAGTACTTGTACATGCATACTATCAGAACTGATCGCTATATAATATACATGTTCTTTGATAATTTCTTAATTGTGTATAGTAATGTATAACTTCTGGTACAATTTTTATATCATTAGATACTTGGCGATATTTGTTAGGTATTCTTCTGAATTAAGTAGAATGGTCATATCGGTAGGCAGTCTTGTGATTCTTCTAGCTCGCTCGTAATGTATGCATTGTAATATTAAATATTTTATGGTAATCGGTAGTTTGCACTGTTCACATGTCGGTGGCTTATTTGTCATTTTTGTCCTATTGGCTGACCATTTCCTAGTCTAACTTATTTGAAGTTAGAATAAAATCAAAAAAATTCTTGATTAGCATAAACGTGGCTATGGCCTGTAACGGCATGCAAAAAGTATCGAAAATTTCAAAAATGACTGCACTATAAAGTTTGAATATGTACTAATTTTCTTTTAAAAAAAGAAGGAAAAATAATTTCCTGGTAATGCTGGTAGTTCATCTATCGAAGGTGTACACCAAACATAAAGTTAAACAATTAATTAGAACTTCAGATATCGTTCCAGCTAATCTGTACATAACTTCCTATCTGTACATAACTTCACTAATTTCAGAAATTCAGAAAACTCCTTATGCAGACATACTTTCAAACACCTATATTTTCAGAAATGGTATGGTCTTCCAAAAAAACATTTTTTTGAAAAGTCTATATTAGAATACCCCTTTAGAGAACGGGGGCGATTAGGTACGGTTCAAAACTTCGACAGGTCCAATTGGTATTTTTTAATTACTTTTCAATTATGATGCAATTAGGGTCCTTACTTTTAATTTTGTACTAACAAATGTTTAATACAGACTGATGTAACGGTTGAAACAAGGACATTTAGAACAACTTAATGATAAGAAGCAATGACAAGAATCGAAAAGGGAAATTTTATTTACATATCACATCTAAAAAGCTCTGATTAATGTATACTAACAGTAGAACTACCCACGATAAACGCATATTTGCTTCGATCGGTGGATAAACCTGAAAAACTTTTGAAAATTTAGAAATTTAGAAATTGACTAATTTCTTCACCTTTATATCGTAATAAAAGGTACAAAAGATCTGAGGAAATGTATTGTCATAACATTTTAATCGTCGTTATAAGAGTGTATTGACAAGTAATTTTGACTTGCTTGGTAGTTCTAGTGTTAATAGTCATATAGACGATCTAAATTTCAAAAGGAATATAATAATACTAAAGTAATGAATAGTGTGATAAAGGAGAAAAGCCATATCGTTATTCATTAATAACTATTATAGTTACACGATGTCCAAATGTAAAATTAAAAAGTTCACTAACAAGTAAAATTATGCTTGGACATTTGTAACCTGTATTATTAATCCCAACAATCTGTAAAATTGTTTTCTGCCCAAACAGTAGATGTATTTTTATAAAATTATCCGACCACGGGCCAAATAGTTTATTGTGCCATTTAAAAACGAAATTGTTAGTCAAACCACCGAGGCCTCCGTTAATTGGAGTTTCAACAAGACATCCGTATTCTAGACAAAAGCTGTTTCCTGGACAAAAATTTGTTTTCTCCAGCGCGCTCGTGTTGCAAACGTTAGCGTGCGTTACGTAAAACAAACACGCGCGATTGTTTCACTCGTGGCGTGGGAGGGAGCATACAGCCTGCCTTTTTTTTAACACCGTGCACGATTCTCGAGAGCGCGCGCGTCAGAAAATCAGTGTTAATTTGCGCTTGTTTGCGATTTATTTCGCGTGTGTATGGGAGGTGGACGGTTTATCTGCGTAAAAATATTTGCAGATACGTGTAGAAGAGCTTACATACTGATGTAAACGTCAGCATCGGCATGACGCATAATCCAGATTTGTTACGAAATAAATCGTGAACACGCCGACTGGAATTTATCTCGCAATGGATTCGAATCACACGACCAAAATTCTTTATCGTCGAAATTTTGTGTATTTTTTTTATCGATTACCCGTCTGAACGTGCATAATACCTTTGAATCTAGGGCTCGTAGTCGCTGTTGATTATTATTAGGTCGATGCATAAGTAATTTTGTTTTTCGTCATAATTGCCATTTATTAATATTGTCCGAGGTCCATTTGCTATTCAGTACGTACCCTTCGAAGCTCTTGCCAGCTCGAAATATTATTAGGTGATTTTCATTGATTAACACCTGCAGATCGTTTGACAATTCCTTGGAATTAATTCAACACTTCGTGTGCACAGATTCTGAAAGTTCTCAGAAGTGCATATGAGGGACAAGTGACCCCAAGTGATTTAAAAATCAAAATACCTCCTGGACTATGGACATTTCGAAAACAATTGTTGAAGCATTTTTTAAAGCTTAATGTTTGTATAATACATTCGGGCAGAATTGTTGAGATTAAAGGAATAATAAATTAAAGTAATAAAAGAAAGGTTTAAAGTGAGGATCTTTCAAAATCTGGAGGTGAGTTCTAACTTGGAACTGGGGTCTTTTATCATCCCCATGCACTCCAAGTGTTAATAATTCCACTTTGGAATATTCTGTATTACTTCTTACATACCCCTACACATAAAGTATATCCACGAAAAATACACCAATAACTTTAATTTTTTTAGTAATTGTTATTTCTCAGTGGTGTAAGAAATTAACAAAGATGTTTTAGGTGTAATTTATCAAGCTCCACTTTCCAAAGGAAAAGTTCCATTTAATGGCTCTTGCTATTCTTATTGACAATTGATGAGTATCATCGACATGATATAGTTATTATAAAATAAAACTATTGTCGGAATTGATACCGACAGAAAGATATCACGAATGATAGTTGTGGAGTACCAGGTAATTGAAAGCTGCCACCACTTTCTTAATCAGACTCTATTACTTTCAATAACATTATAATAATTTAATATAAAGGAATGAATTACTCGTTAGTGTATCTAACGTCGATACAACGCAAATTACCCTCATTTTTCAACACACACATATATATATAGTAAATTTTATTCATTTCTAACACCTTTCTATATGCTAACCAGCATTACATTAACTTTAATATAAAACACTACAATAAAATGTGCCACGAAAATATCGTAGGTATATGTGCTTATTTTATAATCTAGTAACTCTTACATAACAATGAATATATGTTGCAATATAAAAACATAATATTCGAACTTTACCGTATAAAACTGTACAAATTTGTACTTACAGCAAGAAAACCTGATATTATTATGTAACATCGAGTAATTTTAATTTAAGGCCATCGGAAGAATTTACGCCGTTTTGTTGTGTTTTAAAAATGAAAGTGATGATTCTTCGACCAGTGAAGTTTTGAAATCTGTGACCATTGCGTTCCGTCGTAAACCACCCAAGAAACGAAGGAGATACGAGACTCGTGAAGGAAAATATGAATTGTGTTTACCGTGCTATCGTGTACTATTTTTTGATTGTTTATTTAAAGGGTCTACTGCAAACCTTGAAGCTCTATTCTGGACATCCAGCGGATTTGGTAAAATGCACGGAGGATTTCAATGTGAGTATTCTTCCAATTTTAAAAATCTTTCATAGAAAGAGCTCGTAGACATAGTTGTCACGTAGTTGCAAATTACCTTTGTTTGTGATAAGATTAAAGACTACGTAATTATTTTTCGATTACTCGTTATTTTTCTGAGATACGTTTTTTCAATAATTAAAAATAAAGTAAGTCGTATTAAAAATATTCGAATGTTTCCAATATACGGATAAGAAAATGAAGTGTTAAATAACTAATTGTCGCTCTGCTCTTAATTCTTGATTCTTCCCTATGTCTACATAAATTTCAGATGGGGGCACTGCTTATTATAAGGTCCTTTGATACGTTCTTTGATCAGTCTTTCTTTTAATATGAATCAAAAGTTTATCTGTTCATATCATATGATCACGTGAAGTAACTTTTTTCTTCAGTATATGTATGTAAATATAAATATTTTTAATATTTCTGAATTTATTGTAAGTTGATGATTCGTGTGTATCAACGTTTTAGAATTAATTAAAATATTTATTTATTCAATGTCATTTCTAATCTTCTAATGACATATTTTAATTGATCTGATACCTGTTAATCTCTTAAGAGTTAAAGATACAGAAGATAATAATAATTATTAACGTACACCCCACTTGATTGCTATATACTCTCGTTTAAACGGTGCTGCTATATAACGAACTGTCCACGAAGACGTTAGATAAATCGCTCTGCATACATTTCTTTTCTGCAATTTGCATGCATTAGCCCGTGCAGGGGATTATCTAGTCAAATAATTATTGTCGAAAAAAAAAGAAGGGGGAAAAATTACCTAAAAATTGCGGTGAATTGTCGAGGCCCCCCGATAGGTCACCGAAAGCCAATGGGATGGCCCCGAGGGGGCAGCGTTGCACCACGAATGGATCCCGGTGAGTCAGCAACGATAAATCGAGCGATTTATGAAGCGGCACGGGCAACGGACCGTTCTCGAGGAATAATGTCGTTGTATTGATGTGCGTATGCACAGGTTAGACAGGGACGCAGCAAGATGAGCACGATCATCTTCGAGCAGTTCTTAATGAATATTTGATAGAAATCAATTAGGATGAATAAACAACCGACATCCTTTGCATTCTTATGCTTTAGTTAATAGAAATCAAAGAGAATCAACCGAGTTCTTTGGACTTTTATACTTTAGTTATTAGAAGTTAATAGAAATCAATGAGTATCCATAAATATTCGACATCTCCTGGATTCTTATTCTGGAATTACATCATTCTACATACATAATTGTCACTTAACAATATTATGGATTATTAGGGCGTTCTACAGGTATTTTTTATTGTGCTTTATTTTTTTTAATTTTTACATTGCATTAAAAATTAAACTCGGAAAAGATACTAGCAATCTAGAATAGGAAATTAAAAGTTACCAGTATACATTCTTTAAATAATAATTAAACAGTTGAATTTAAAGGCGTACACTACCTTGTAGGCTTAAAGAAAAGGTGAATTCAACATTTTTTTTTTAGGTAGTTATTAAGTATATTATTGGAATCTTTTTAAGGGATAGTAGGCAACATTTTAATATTATTTCCGTATGTTAGTTATTATTTAAACTTACAAAATGGTGGAATTACACGACACTGTGTGCCGTTATGTCTGACATTATTTTGTCAGTTGACTCCCAGTTGATCTTTGAAACTATTTATCCTATTATCTTCAAATCTGAACACATTATTCTTATAAAATTGTCTACAATGTAACGTACATTTTATATATAATTTTAATTTGTTGAATTTTTGTAAATTTTCAAATTTTATGTTTTTTATTTGAAAAATATAGTTTCTTTATAAAGCTGTCATTTTCTTATTGTTTTAATTTATTCAAAGATCATAAGATGTATTATAGATAATTTTATAAGGAATAATGTATCCAAATTTGACTAATCGGATGAATAGTTTCAGTGATCTGCTGGGTGTCAGCTGACAATGTCCTGCCAGGAATGACAATAGACATTGTTGTATAACTTCGTCATATTATAATTTTAAATAATATCTAATGCATGAAAATAAAGTTAACCTGTTTCCTAACATTTGTTAAAGAAGTTCCACTATTTTATTTAATAATTCCCTGATAAAAAAATTTCAAGCTTATTATTTTTTTAGGCCTCAAGTAACACTCAATAATAACTAATGAAAGCATAATTTAATTTCAATTTTTGATACAATACATTCACATGAACTGGAGGCATTCTTGAAGTAACACAGATTCGCTTCAAAAATAATTGTTATTTCCGTTCGAAACTGAAAATAGGTACTAATACGATTATTATTAGTTAACGTGAAATGCACTGTCGGTTGTATTATATATCAGTCACAAATGATCGTTAATACGTACTCCCGTTTGTAACATTCCATAGATACATTCGTGCTAGAAAATTATTGATATTGTTCGGGTTTGAATTATTAAGCCAAAACCGAATTTCATTTTCAATAATGCACATATGTAATGCTACTAATGTAAATCCTACCGTCTACGGTGATATTATAAATTTTTTTAACGAGCCACAATAACATTACACCGAATGTTAATCGCGAACACGTCAATGGAAATGTCGAGAGAACGAATACGCGTGGAAAAAAAATATATGTTCGCGGATCGAACAAAGACGTGCGATTGACACTTTCTACTCGTCGATTTATTTAATTTGTCAACGTCAGTTAAGCCGAGCTCGAAGTGTCGGTGGCTGGATCGGCGGGAGGGCATCTTCAATCAAAATATGACGAAAGCGAGGCTCGACACGGCCCCATTTTAACCGTAATTAATTTCGGCATAGATTCGTATCACGCCGATAATTCCGTTCCGATTACGGCCGGCGATCTCGTAGGGAACGCGTTTCACGTCCGCGAAATAATTATTCGACCGTCCGCCAAAACACCGGACCGTATTTATGGAAGCGATAATGCCCATCGCAAATATTTAACTGTAAATATTTAACTCGCGAATGCTCCAGCATAAATGAATGAGTTAAAATAAATAAATAAGTCGTTTATACCGACGCTGATCTCGAGGCCAATGCGTACATTGTGAAATCGCCTTGTACATTGTCGAAAATAAAAGTTCGAATCGGAACAACGTCATTTCGTGTATTTTTATTTATTTTTGCACAAGAAATCTGTTCATTATCAGCTGATAATTAGCTTACCCTGTATAATTAGCTTAGCAGCTCTTGTGAAACAAATTTTGGAACGATAATACCTGGCTGATTAATAATTCTCTATAAATGCAATATTTCCGTTAAAAATTGGTTTTAGTACTTCGATATATATATAATAAATTATATAACGTAATAAATGATAAATAATACTTTATTTAAACAGCATGTAATATACAATATTATATTTACATAGTTACTGCTTTTAGTGCTAAAACCTGTTTCCTCGCATCATAATTTCTTGATGCTTTCACCCCGAGCGATCGCGAAACAGAATTAAGCCCAGGCACTTCTCAATAAGTTACATTCGAAAAACACAACTTCTATTTAAAACTAATGAATCATTCACGATATTATAATTCCATTTAACACATTAAAATATTTTTTCAAAAATGAATATATGACACGCTAATAAATATATAGTTGCGTTAATACTAATTCGTATTAATAATAATGATTTTTGCTCCTTTTCTGAAGTGGTATATGTTGACCTCTTTTTTATTTCGAAGTATTCAGCGTTCTGCATTGTACCCTATTTATGAATTCTAAAACATCAATAATAATAGTTATAATAAAAACAATGAATTGTTATTGAACGTAAAAATATATCAATTAATATAAATTTTTGAGAATTCTATTATATGTTTAATAAAAGAATAATACGAATAAAATTATAGTACAATCGTAAAGGCAGAAAATATTAATAACTTTTACTCATATTACATTCATTTTCCATCGTAGAAAGTTTTTTGAAATATTCGTGGCGAATAGGGTGCATGCATGGCAATAAACTCATCATATCGTTATTTGTATTTAGCTGACTTAATAGATTTTGAGTTTGTATATTACACCGGCAATAATATTATTATACTGAAAGTTTTTGGTCTTCCCTGTTTTGCGGTTAAAATTTAGTCATTTAAATTCCACATTTTCTTCCATTAACATTTTACATAACATTTTACATGACACATCCCTTTAAAATTTCATCGAGCAAATCATGAACCAATTTATAATTTCACCGTCAGCGTTATGCAATTCCATGTAATAGTCAAACTTTTGTGGACTCATTCATGAGAATATTGTACCTACTGTACTGACTTTAATTATAAATATAAAAAGACGTTATTATAAATATAAGGAAGCCCTCTATCTCTAGCTGAAACAAGCTGAAACTTATTTTTGTTTTTTCAAAATAGGACTTATACCACTTTAAAAAGAAAACAGCTTATTTAACACTTCGACTGCCACAGTGGAAATGGCCGTACGTAGCCAGACACACTTTACCTCGTTTTTTTAAGTCATAAATCGTCGAAAATATATGCGTATAGTTAACAGAGACTGTTGGTCTTGTTTTAAGTTATACTGCGATCTTAAATGTACGCATAAATTTTATAACAATATTTAGATAATCCAGCTTCTTTGCAATGCACGTGTCACCCATATTTGGATGACGTGGCAGTCAAAGTGTTAAGGAAGCATTCAAGTGTCTGTACATCTAGTAACTGTAACGTTTAAATAACTGAAAACCAATCTGTCAGCTTTGGGAAGCATCTCTACCGAAATAAAAAGTGCATGTCGATAAATAATCTCGACCAAACGATGTGTACGCAAGTCACGTTCGTCACGTAGGTATAGAACACGATCACGTGGCGATATATGCCGTGCAAAAATTCCACACCGAAGATCGATTAAAAGTTACTCTAAAATACGTCATCCATTACTTACGAGCTACGAATAAAAAATATGACGAGATGGTACGTGATATACAAGATATATTACAAAACGTAAACTGTAATTGATCCACGTTATCTATAATG